TTGTTGATATTTCTTCCAGCAATCTTAATTCCGGTTTGGGATTCCCCCAATCCAGTCCATGATGTATTCTGCATATAAGTTAAAGTAGGGAGACAATATACAGCCTTGTCGTACTCCTTTCCCAATTTTGAACCAATCAGTTGTTCCATATCCAGTTCTAACTCTTGCTTCCTGTCCCACATATAGATTTCTCAGGAGGTAGATAAGGTGGTCAGGCACTCCCATTTCTTTAAGAACTTGCCATAGTTTGCTATGGTCCACAAAGTCAATGGCTTCTGCATAGTCAATGGAGCAGAATTAGATGTTTTTCTGGAACTCTCTGGCTTTCTCCATAAGCCAGTGCATGTTAGCAATTTGGTCTCTAGTTCCTCTGCACCTTCAAAATCCAGCTTGTACTTCTGGAAGTTCTTGGTCCACTTTTCTTGATAGAAAACTACAAAGTACATTCCTATATGTACCTCATTTTACTTTGTGCAAAAGTGGCATCAGTACATACTAATATATCATTTAAACAGAAGGATTTATCTCATGTTGTTTCCACTTCTTCTGCCTTTCATCTTAGGTTGTACTCTGGGACATCTCAGAATATGAAGAAAGGCTGCAAAATGCAAAGTCAGGCACAGCTGGAAGCAAGAGCACCGCCGTTAATATGGTTAGTACTTCAAGATTCTGATTATTCAGTAGACAATGGACTTCTTTATGAACTTATGCCAATGTAGGACTGATATATGCCAACTGTTTTATACTGTACTTCAGTCATTCTAAGTGGAGTTAATCACACAGTTGTATCCAAATGTAAAATGAGGACAAAGTAAACAGAATCCTGGAGTTCAGATATAGCAGAAAACCTTGGTTTCTGGTTACGTGAATAAGCCTACAGAAGCCCAAGTCCCTGAAGCATCCCCCTCACCTCTACTTGAACAACTGCTAGAGTGTAACTTTTCATTAATCATAGAATATCTCAGGTTATGTCTGAATTCAAAGAGCCCTACTTTATTTAAAACCTATTTTGTCCAAACAAACCAGATTCAGTCCTTGGTTTCTAGCATTGCTCTGACATCACAGCTAGACACCACACCTAGCTAGCTAGCTGGCTTCCTTCCTTCTATCTGTTTGTAAATCAGAGTTCAATGGTCTTATGAGCTTGAGAGAAGAGATTTAATTCTGTATAAAACAGCTTTAAACAATAGGCCATCGATTGGCCTTCAAAGAGATAATCAACCACTTCTTTCTTAAAGACTAAAAGCTCCTGTTCAATTTTAGCCCAGTTTCATGCTGGAGCAACAAGTTGCAAACGAGCCCCACTTGGTGAGATATTGTGCCGTCTCCTCCATAGAATATGGTCATAAGTCAGTAATATCAGATATACACTGGCTGCCAGAACTGTTTGAGGTAAGTTTCTTTATTAATATTTCATACTTGTGCCAGTTAATGCAAAAAGTTCAATTAAGACATAAGACATAAGACATAAGACATAAGAAATTTATTTGTCATTGCGCTCACAAGTGGGTGCAACGAAATGAGGTGCTCTTCCCCAAGGTATTTCATACTTGTGCCAGTTAATGCAAAAAATACAATTACTCCCCACCTGTTACACCTGTTCTATCATTCTATTTTAAAATAACACCTTTTATGGGTGCAACGAAATGAGGTGCTCTTCCCCAAGGTAAAACTGGACAACACTACAAAAAAAGTTAAAATATACACAACTTTCACCATCCAAATATAGATACCCCGTTTTCTCTCAGCAATTAAAATTCCACCAAAAACCTATGGCCCCGCATTTAAACTCAATACTGCACTTGGGTAAAAACTGTTCTTGAATCTGCTTGTCCTTGCTTTCAATTATACCCACCTGTTCCACCTGTTCTATCATTCTATATAAAATAACACCTTTTGTGCCACAAACCAAAGATTTAAGCTTAGTCTTATTTACCCCAGTTAATTTCCTGGGGCCTGCTTTGCATTAAGGTGCATTTTAGGGATATATCAGCAAGAATTTTATTACGGAAATTAAAATCATGGATGCACATTTAGCTGTAGTAAAGCATTTGACTTGTCACTACATACATTCATACATGTATGATTTCTTCCCCTTATAGCAGGAATGGGAAACTTGTGGCCCCCCCAGATGTTATTGAATTGCTACTTCCATGATCCCTCCCTGTTATCCCTGATGGCTAAGGCAGTTGAGAAAAGTTACAGTTCAACAGCATCTGGAAGGCAACTTGTTGCCTTGTCCTGCCTGAAAAATGCTGTGTGGAGCAGAGGTGAATATGTACTTTTAACTCTCAGGCCTGCTGCTTTGAGACTGCTTTTCATCATATGGCCACTGAAACAGAACCTGGTGCTTTTCTGTAGTAAGTTGGTGTAGTGAGAAGAATTGGCAATTCACCAAAATTCCAATAGTAATCATAATTCTAGTCTAACAGCTGCTACAAAGTGATGATGTAAAAATAATCATATGCTGTCAAGTCAATTCTGACTTATGGCAACCCTTTCCCGGGTTTTCCAGGTAGAGAATACTCAAAAGTGGTTTACCAGTCCCTTTGAGGGCAGGGCTGAGACTGTGCAGCTTGCCCAAGGCTCCCCAGGAGGCACAATGGGGAATTTAATTTCCCGACTGTGCAGCTTGCCCAAGGCCTCCCAGGAGGCACAGTGGGGAACCTTTGGCTCCACAGCCAGGTACCTAAGTAATTATAATGAATGATAGTTCTGCTATAACAACTGGTCAAGGATTTCAAAATTTGTTAGGTTCAGGTTCAGATGGTGGTGATGATGAAGATGATTCTGACGAGGACACGACATATGTTACTTCAATAAGCCTTGAATTGACCTTATAAGCTTGACCAAATATTACAAATGTGGTGTACGTGGCGTGCAGGGAAGCTGAGCACCTTGCCAACAAGCCTCTTTCATTAGTTTTTGGAAGAGGTTCATGGATCAGTCCTAAGGGTTCTGTAATCCACACACACAAAAGCAAGACTCATAAACCACCAATTGTTTACTGGCTTTCAGATGTTTGCCTCTCTGGTTGAATGTACCAAACCTACGTCAAGGCACTGAATAGGCATGAAAGGAAACAGTGGCAAAAATTGTGGGGCAGTGTGTATAGGAAAGCAAGACTCATAAACCACCAATTGTTTGCTGGCTTCAGATGTTTGCCTCTCCGGTTGAATGTACCAAACCTATGTCAAGGCACTGAATAGGCATGAAAGAAAAGACTGGCAAAAATTGTGGGGCAGTGTGTATAGTAAAATGATAGCATGCTGCTGTAGAAAGAACAAACATGGCAACACAGAACAGTAGAATGCAACTGTTCAGAAGCTTTTTGGATTTTCTCCTTCGCTGACTGAATGCTTTTCCAGAGATCAGATTTGCACCTGATGTGTTCTGATGCACATCTAAATCTGTCAGACCAGGCTACTACCTTACTTTCCAGTACACACAGGCTCATCTGATTTCATGATTTAATTCAGGGTTGGGCCTGGTGAATTCTGGATAAGATACCACCAAGTCACCAAAGATCTCCAGGTAGGTCTGGGAGAGCATTCTGCTGGAACCCTAGGCACCAGTTGTCAGAGTTGACAGTGCTAGGCTAGGTGGACCAATTATCTGACTCAGTATAAAGCTCCAGTAAAAAAAAAAATCATAATTATCCAATGCTGTGGTTCGCCAATACCAGAAAGTTCTTACGTTTGTAGGTACTGGTTTTACATTCCAACCTCTAATGCTAACAGTGATTTCATTTGCTCTTTCTCAGCTCAACAGAATGGGCACTGTTTTTGAAAACAGAGCTGGAGTTTGTATACAGCTTGTCACCTGCTCACCAGACTGGTAGTATTTTTTAAAAGTTTATTACACAAAGGCCTAATTCAGATATCACCCTCTCTTTAAGATAAATCATAGTTAAAAGATTATTAGACTGTGAATGAGCTGTTTGTTAAAAAAAATCAGCTATCCTGTTTTTTTAAATCTCATTTCCCTTCTGATTAAACATGGAAAAGGTCTTTCTCTGAAGGTTGTTATGTCTGTAATGGGTGCCAAGATTTTTTTAAAAAGACTACTAGGCTGTATGTATGTGTTTTTTTAAAAACCTTTCACGTTCCTTTTTCTTTCTCTCTTCATGTAGCAACCTTTTGTATTAATCAGTAAAATAGGGCTACCTATATACAAAAATTCAATCAAGGCAACATTTATATGCATGCAGTTTATATCATTATTTGATCCTTTGCAGCACCATCTATTTTTGGGACCTTCGAGCCCACCGGCCAGCTGCCCAACCTTCTAATGAGAAGAAAAAGGAAGAGAAGATTGTTCCACCTTTACCTGATGTGCCTTTGACCTTCAAACACTTAGATCTCACGTGGAGGCCTCTCATTAAGGTATAGTACTGTGAAGAAGTTGAGAGAGCAGCCAATACACCAAAAGTATCATTCTTGGCATCGAGCAAGACAGTTTGCCTAGCTTAGAATAGATGCTCCCTTAAACGATGAAAGATGTCTGTCTCCATGCACGTTTGTCCTCAGCTGCTCATCTTGCATTTAATTGATTTGTTCCCTGATCGGACATTGGAAGCAAATGTGGACCTGCTATGAAAAACCTGATTGTCAAAGCACATATTTCTAATGAAACTCCCAGTGTGAAATGGAAAACATTAATTACAGGGAATACTCATTCCTCTTAATGTTTAGTCCCTCAAGTTTCCTTTAAAATCTCTTCATTGTGCAGGCCTTCCTTCTTTCCTTTTCATGACACTGATGTTTCCCTTTGAATTACATTTTAGGAAATAACTGTTTAAATTTAAGTGACATATGTACAATCATGCTCTCTCTTTGCAGCATGTAGTCCAACAGTTAATAGTACAGTGTATGGGATTCCCCTTTTCTGTTAAATCTATTCCAGAGCTTAGAAATGTTTTTTGGGCTAAAGTTCTCTGAATTGCTCAGTCTATATATCCATTAACTACATACTGGTTGGAGATTCTCCATACACCTAAAAATCTCCTATTCTTGGCTCCTAGGGGGCCTGAGGGAGGGAGGGCCTCTATAGAATCTGGACCCACTTCCCCACTGTTCCTCCACTCTGTCTGCTGATTGGTACTCCAGTCGGTGAAGATGTTAATCATCTGCCAGATGACAGGAAAGCCTGTGTCTGTGAAACCAGAGCTTGTAAAAGTTATTTTATTAGGCTACAACTCTCAGGATCACCCAGTGAGCATGGCCTTTGGCCACACTGCTGAGGAACCTCTGGGAGGTGTACACCAAAAAAGTAACTTTCCGAAGTTATGTGTGAAACAGAATCTGTTGGATGAAGAGGAATGATAGCCCTGTGGAGCAGCCATTTGCATACTTGGGGCGGGGCTGGTCTCCTTGTAGATTTGTTTTGTCTGTGCAAATAGATCAGCTCTACACATCAAAGACAATTTAAAACATTGTATCCAGCAAAAAAACCAAACACATTCCCATTTTATCTAATGCATTTGTGGATCTCTCTCATCCTCTAGAACAGTGGTCCCAGCCTTGGGAACCAGGTATTTTTGGACTTCAGCTCCCAGAAATACCAGCCAGCACAGCTGGTGGTGAAGGCTTCTGGGAATGGCAGTCCAAGAACACTTGGGATACCCAAGGTCGGGAACCTCTGCTCTAGAACTTTAAACAATACTCCTACATGGCTTCTAAGAGACAGTGCAGGCTCTGGAACAGTATGGGGTGCGATGTGAAGGGCTGCAATAGATAAATGTATCTGCAAAATTATGGTGCCTTGCTTTGTGTCAGTTTAAGTGCTTTCAGGTATACAAGTCCATAGTGAGTGTGGTCAGGTACATGACAGATTTTTAATGTATTTGAAAAAATATTTTGACAAATGCCATGATATGTCAATAATAGTTTATCACATTTGTTTTCTACCTATCCGGAAATGAAGTGAGAATAATATGCCTGACATGATCTATTTTGGAATCCTCAGCATTCCTGTGAGGAACATGAGAGCTCTGGGACTGAATTACCCAATTGCCCAAGTCCATTTTCCATCCCTTTTTCAGACTATAGAGTGGGGGTGGGGAAGAGGTGTACTATATATAGTTATAAATCATATTGTTTATTTATCCAGACTCTTTTAATTCATTTGGGTAGACCATCTAGTGCAACTGTGCATAATATACACTGTGTTACTATCTATTTGTGACAAATAATACAGAATAATTCAGAATTACATTCCAGTGAGAGTTTCCCATCTGAAAGTAAAACAGAACGCCAGATGGATTCAGAATGTTTGTGTGGATAAAATCAAACAGGCTTTACTTAAGATGTCAAATACGTTTACATTTCAAGATACATTAGGGCCATTAGTTCATAACTTGTAGATGGCCATTTTCCACAGCATATTCACTGTCTCTCAGATTTCACATGGTCTGTATTTAAAAAATAAATATACAAGGCTGCAGTCCTGTATATACTTATTGTGAAAATAAACCCCACTGAATGAGGCTGGAGGATTGGGTCTGAGTAGAAGAATATAGGACTGAATTGTCTGGAGTATATTTATGAACACACATACAAGTGATATAGCCACATAACTTGTATTTGTATATATTGCCAGATTCTCTTTACATCCTCAAACAGGTAACCTTGCCCAAAACAGATACAGGTGCAGAGTTTAGCCCGACAAAAATAAGCCTCAGAGAAGAACACTATCATACCAAAATTCAAGGTAATAATATATATATATATTACATTATATGTTCAGGGAAATATACCACATAATTACATGATTCGACTTTGGCACTGCCTTTCTTTGGGATTGGGGATTCGAATTTGTAACAGAGAGAAAAGCAACCTTGCCAAGACTGGAATCAACCTGAAGCATAGAATGCAATTCCATTAAAGGGAATTATTATGCTTAAGCAAGGTTCAGGAATGTGCATTTTGGATATTTTTGGTCTGCAAATCTCTTAAGTTCCATTTCTGGGAGTCTCATCTGCAGGACCGGGACCATATAGACACCTAAATTGTGCTCACCTGGAAAGAAGGCCCAGCTGAGAGGCTTCATGCTTTGGATAGCCCTTTTTTCATGTTTGAAAAAGCACTCCACTCTTTGCTGGGAAGCTTCCTTTTTCAACAGGAAGTTAGGCCTATCCAAGGCATGAAGCCTGTCAGTTGGGCCTTCTTTCAAGATTAGCACAGTTTAGCTCTCTGTAAAGTCTGGGTCCTGCAGACAAAACTCCCAAAAAGGAGAATTATGAGTTGTTGGGCTTTTTAAAATGTGCTGTTTATGTAGTGCACAAAGATCCAAAAGCAACACCTCTAGATAGGTTATATCTTTATTTGACCACTAAAAAATCACAAACAAATCTGACTGGGAGTTATGACATCATTATCTTTACATGATAGTTTAAGAGAGGTGTCGCCTACCCTTGTATTTGGTTGTGCATAAAGATCACTTGGCTTCCCCTCCCCCTTTTGTTGCTGTGCTTAGGGCACTTTGGACACAAAGTACGGTGTTAAATCAGAAACAGGCAGTTATTATGATATTTCCCGGTTGATTATGCTGGTTGGGGCTGATGGGAATTGCTGTCTAAAAAAATTGAGATGTCCACTGTTGTCTTAAATGTTAGTAGTGTATGAGTAGGAATGTGGAAGAGTTCAGAATACACGGAGCTATTTGTCAGCCAGAATAAAAAACTGTTTATTTAGCAGCCAACATCTATAGTTACCTTTTCCCCATGTCTACTTGTTAACATGTTGCAGTGAACAAGGTAAGATATTTAGTTACACAGCTTTTGTATAACAGTAATGTACCTGAATTCTTTTGAAGATAAGACGCAACCCCAGGTCAGACCAGAAGTACTGACAGAAAAACTACCGTATAGTGAGATACAGGCCACAACAACAAAACCTCTTAAACTGCTAGAAAATATCACCTCCAGCTTTTTTGTTGGGACTGAAGTAAGTTGACCTTTTGAATATAAATTATTGTTTAGTATAGGAGAGGTGCATGATCCTATATCTATGTAAATTACTATTCTCTGGATTGACCAATACATTTTTACACCGAGTCAAGAAACCGTGTCCTATTCTAATATGTCTAATCAAACCTATTTTATCTACTATTACGTCATCCATCCATCCATCTATCTCATCCCAGATATCTGCTTCTTTTCCAGGCCAATAATATTACAGTGGTGCCTCGCTTAACGATTGCCTTGCTTAACAAGGAAATCACTGTACAATTAGTTTTTTGTGATCGCAAAACAATGGTTTAAATGGGTTTTTTTCATTCATGCCTTGCTTAACAAGGAAATCGCTGTACGGTTAGTTTTTTGCGATTGCAAAATATGGTCTAAATGTTTGTTTGTTTTTGTTCAATGATGATCGGTTCCCTATTTCGACCCTATTTCGGGAACCGATTTTCACTTTACAACAATCAGCAAACACCTGATAGTCGGGTTTCAAAATGGCCTTCAGCTGAAGAAAATGGCCCCCCTGCTGTTTTCTAGGACAGATTCCTCGCTTTACAGGCACCGAAAATGGCCGCTGTATGGAGGATCTTCGCTAGGTGAACAGGTATTCAGCCCACTGGAACGCATTGAACGGTTTTCAATGCGTTTCAATGGTTTCTTTAATTTCCCTTGACGATGTTTTCGCTCTACAGCGATTTCGTTGGAACGAATTAACATCGTCAAGCAAGGCACCACTGTACTGGCACATTCAAGGCATAAAGAGATGGTTCTTGATTTTATAAATCTACACCCATTTAAACAATTTAAACCTAAACATGTGTTCTTATTGTTGAACATGGGAAGATAAAATATCAACAAATAAAGTACACCCAATTTAGCAAAGAAACCAAAAAGCAAGATTAATTTTAGCATCTCATATCTGGCCTGCATTATTGGAGGTTTGCTGAGGTGATTCAGAAAGTTACTAAGAACTGAAATCCAGTCATTCACATCTAGATCAGAACTATGATAGACAGCAGTTTCCCATGAACATGGCACGCAAAAGTTACTTTTATGGATTGCACATCACAGAGTCCTCAGGCTATCAATGCCACTCTGGTTTAAAAAAATGTGATCTTAAAAAAGCAGAAGTAAATAACCCAGCATGTAAAAGAGGCTATGAGCCATTCTGAATCTGTCTAAATGTAAAGACCTTCTGTTAGGGTTAAGAAGGTGACATTTGCATCCAGTTTATAGAACAAATAGAGTGCCTTTTGGTTTCATACTATATACTGAATTAGCAGTGCTACTCCACATTTTTTCCTGCATTTTGATTTTTTTTTTTCAAAAAAGCAAAACAAAACAATAAACTGTATATTTGCTTTCTTTATCTACATTTGTTTCTTGGTCCATAAATGCAATGTATTAGTGCCGAAAGTTAATTTACTTGAACTTAAAGAAAACGATCACACAATATATTATATTTTAAACTATTCAGCAGTTCTGCACTAGCTTAGCTTTCAGCCCAAATGCATCTAAATGTGGAGACAGTACAGGAAACACTTTCCATTTTGCAAGCTCTTTTGTTAAACTTCAAAGGAGATCAAAGTGTGACTTCCAGATTTTCAGCAGTGTTTCACCTCACCTCCTGCTGTCTGTATTTATTACATTTTTTGTGGTATTACAGGATGGTGAAATTCTTTGTTCGGACTGGAAGATGGAAAGAGATGGCGATTCGGGAAGACTGCTTAGTAGGCTTCAATTTTCTCAGCATGGAGAAATACCGCTGGGGGAACGGGTCATGAGTGCTTCGTAGCCAGGGCTCAGATATAAAACACAGATGCAACACAGATGCTTCAGTTCTGTAAAATACAACAAACACTGAACCACTGATAGAAGTAGCTAGACTGACCTGAGTTTCTTTAGTGAGTTAGAACGTTTCCTAGGTGAATATGAGACTGAGAAATTTTGACCTAAATGCAATTGCTATTTCCAACTAGAGTAGATCCATTGAATCAGATGCTGAACGGTGAGTCAATTCCATTGATTCAATGGACCTACTTTGGTTGAAGCTACTATTTCGATTCAAGTATAGAAAACAGGTTGGGGGAGCAGGGTAAGAACTTATAGATACTGACCTTATGTCTTATGGCTGGGCTGAGGGGCCTGTGGTCCTCTATATGTTGTTTAGATTTCAGTTCTCGTCAGCCACTGCCAGTCTGACTAGTGTGAAGGGTGACAAGGAGAACTAGTGAATTAACATCTGAACGGACAAGTGTTGATATTATTGTGGCAGCTGACCTATTTTCAACAAGGGTCCCACTGAATTGCAAACAATAGTCCAAAGCTCTGTGCATGGAGACCATTAAATATTTTAGTCATGCATCTTTTAAGAAGAGATAAGGAAGGCAAATTAGAGCAATGGGAATTAGAGCAGAGGTGGGCAATGGTGACTTTCCAGATGCTTGTAGGATGCTTCCCCAAGATGAGTCCTCATTGGGAGAAAGGTGAAGTTTAAATAATCAAATGGAATGAATGGGGGAAATGAAAGATTGGCTGTGCTTCACAGGGTTGTTGGGAATTTTAGGAATAAATATCTGAAGGGTCACAGCTGCCCCCACTCCCAGAGTAAAGACTTACAAGGCAAGGGTGCGAAAATGTCTGGGTTGATTTCACTGTGTTTCTCTGAATCCAATCCACATTTTCTTCCTGTCCTCCTCTTGTTGAGAGACTTCTTGTGCAAAAATCCATGCACATCTTTACTCATTTTTCATAATTGATGTATTTATTTGTGCATTTCATTTAATTTACACAAGTTCACCCTATTCTCTAAAGAATGTTATGTGCATTTTAGCCATCTGTGTTTTAAAATGTGTGTGTGGTTTGTGCACATTTTATTTCTCCAAAAGACCCTGTAAGCCTCACAATTTGCAACTTCTAGAGGTTCTTTCCCACTGGCAGTCCTCAGAGGTTCAAGAAGTTTACTGAAATGGTCAAATCCAGCAAAGCATTTTCCGATCCCTAATAATTTTTCTCTTCCAGGGTGAAGAGGATGGTGGTGGTGGGGCTCTTCTCCTCATTCTGATCTTTGTGAAGAATCTGGAGAAGCAACTGTATTCAGCATCTTATATCAACCAGATTAAATATGATGATACACATACATATGCATCTATATACGAATTTACTCCTCTTTTTTTTCCTTAAGGCCAGAAACCAACCAACATACACACCATCCATGACGGGCTTGTCCATACTGTTCAGCGATCTCCATTTTTCAACGACGTAATTCTCACAGTTGGAGGCTGGAATTTTGCAATATGGAAGGAAGGTGTTACGGTATGTTCCTCTGGAATCAGAAGTCACAAAGAAAGAAGTCACAAATCCACCCAACATATAGGACAAGAAAATTCAAAGAGGTGAAAGAAATAGGGTGCTACATGTTTTGAAGTTGTAAGAATAGCACTTCATCAGGAGACCATTGACCTGCTTAATTATTTCCCTTCATAAAAAGATGCCAATTAAGATCATTATAAGAAATTTGCTGCCTTTACATGACCCAGTTTTTCAAATACGTAATTATAGAGAGGCTACCCTAACAAATAATGTTGGAAATGCTTCAGGACTGGGATGATCAGATTCACACTATCTTCTGTTGACTACACAACATACAAGTAAATGTGAATCAGGCCAGAATTTTTCTTTCCAATCTGTAGTCTTTTCTGCTGCTGGGGCTTCTCCTTTTTTTAAATCTCTTGGGATCAAACTCAGATCATGAGCAGAGGCCTGACTGCAGTACTGCAGATGTTGATCAAGCCCCCGGGGCATAATGGTTAAACTGCAATGCTGCAGTCAAGCTCATGACCTCAGATGTTGATCAAGCCCCCGGGGCATAATGGTTAAACTGTAGTGCTGCAGTCAAGCTCATGACCTGAGTTTGATCCTGACGGGCTCAGATAGCCACTCAAGGTTGACTCAGCCTTCCATCCTTCCGGGCTGGTAACTTGAGTACCCAGCTCACAGGCAGGGGGATGTGTAGCCTGCGTAATTGAATTATAAATAGCCCAGAGAGTGTTTTCAAGCCCCCGGGGCATAATGGTTAAACTGTAGTGCTGCAGTCAAGCTCATGACCTGAGTTTGATCCTGACGGGCTCAGATAGCCACTCAAGGTTGACTCAGCCTTCCATCCTTCCGGGCTGGTAACTTGAGTACCCAGCTCACAGGCAGGGGGATGTGTAGCCTGCGTAATTGAATTATAAATAGCCCAGAGAGTGTTTTAAGTGCTATGGGGCAGTACATAAGCAGCATATTTTGCTTTGCTTTTTTGATAGTTAATGCATTTGCATCAGTTCAGGTGGTATGACTGTTTGTGCTGATGCAGTCAGCATCTGCCATCACCAAACAATAAACAGGGAACAATTCTTAATTTAACCAACATCAGGGTTTTAAAAATTCATCTTTTTCTCTTTTTGAAATGAGAATTTTTGGCCTCATCCATGGTCAAACACCTGTTTCCTTCAAATTTCTTGTTTTCCATTTCCCTTCCTGTTTAGTTTTTTAAAAAAAGTCTTGGTGCTATGCTCTAAGTCAGAAGACAAAAAAGGAGGGCAGAGAGTGAGAAGTCCACAGAGAACAAGGAGAAAAGTGCTAATTAGCATTTATTTGCAGCTTTTTAAGGTAGCTCGATTGTAGCCATGCCACCTGCAAACCTGGAAGGCTACAGAAAAGGTAACTTAACAAACTGTAAATAAGGTTGGTTGCTATTTTCCTCCCCTCTTCTTTGCTGACTCCTATGTGATCAGCTAAAGTGAATTTACCTGGGGAAATCCAACTTCCTCAGTACAATGTATTCTCGAAGGCTTTCATGGCCAGGATCTGATGGTTGTTATGGGTTTTTCGGGCTCTTTGGCCATGTTCTGAAGATGGTTCTTCCTGACGTTTCGCCAGTCTCTGTGGCCGGCATCTTCAGAGGACTGGAGTAGGAACTCTGTCCATGCTCTATTGCTGTTTGTTAGATAGTTGAGTATTTATAGCTGTGGAAACAGCTTTTGTCCTTTTCAGGAGATAGAGTGATGATGGTGATCAGCGTGTTCCTCAGTACAACTTCACAGCAGATCCATTTGCATTTTCCCACTATGTAGTCTATGGTTCCCTACCAGTGCCAGATTTTAAGATGCTTATTATAGCCAAGTGGAAGTGGATTTATCTGATAGTAGTTTTGTAAAAAATACGATTTTCCTCCTAAATTAGTTCAATTTTTTGGAATATTTGCTACTGTAGGAATTGGAGAATACTAAAGAATAGTGTGATCCCTGGTGTCATCATCATAGATCAATGGGATTTAAATTAGTCATGATTAACTCATTGATTTATGTGAGTTATTGTACTCTTAAGTCTCACTAAATCAACCCAATGCTTATAAGCATGGAGTTTTATCAGTAAGCAAAAATGTGAAACTCCAAAGCAATGGCATGGACAGCCTTTGGAATCATTAAAGAGGCATAATCATGATTTAGAGATATCCCTACACAGCTGGAGTTAACCGCCCACTCACACATCCGGGGGTGGCCCCTTTCTTCCAATCGCTCCAGAATGCCGGTCGGCTAGCGGCTCAGCAGCCTTGCAGGGAGACTCGTCCTCCCTCCCTCTGCCAGGAGTGACTAGACGACCAGGAAGAGAATGGCGCTCAGGAGCAATTGGATGAGCAGGGGATGGTCCTGCCTTAGAGGCCGGATCCTCGTTAACTCCAGCTGTGCGGGATATTCGTATACCGTGTTTTCCTGAAAATAAGACAGGGTCTTATATTAATATTTGCTCCAAAAAACACATTAGGGCTCATTCTCAGAGGATGTTTTATTTTTTCATGTAAAACAATCTACATTTATTCAAATACAGTCATGTCATCTTCTTCTGGTTAGTGCACAAAGGTGAAAGGCAGGGTTTCACTTAACTGGGGCTTATTTTGGGGGTATGGCTTATATTATGAGGATTCTGAAAAATCATACTAGGGCTTATTTTCAGGTTAGGTCTTATTTCGTGGAAACAGGGTACGAATACAAATACCCCCCTCTCTAATCTTTATTTAATAGCAAATATATGCTATGACTTGTACAAAGACAGAAGGATCCTGCTTGCTGGTTCACATGCTTAAGATGCCTGCATCCCTGAAGTACTTGTGTGAGAATACATCCCACAGAACTCAGTGGGTCCTTATTTGAACAGGTATAGGTAGAATAATACTGTACATGGAAAGCCATACTGTAAGTTAGTAAATGGCTGATCCTGTGGTCCCGTTATGCCAGGAACTGCTATGCATTAGCCGTACTGTTGTTATGCCACTGCAGTGTTATCAGAATTTTTTGGACATTCAGAAGCAAATTAAAAAAACAATGCCAGTAACTGGTATCGTAACTGAATGGCATTCATGCAATGTACATTGTTGCCCTGGACCTCAATTTATTGATTCTGATTCTGATCCTATGAGGAAGAATGAGTCACAAGTGTGTGGTCAGCAATACCAAAAAGCGGAGTGGTGTATTTGGTGTTTGCCAGCATTGATGACTGTCCTTCTAGGACATGGGGCCAGCCCCCTGGCTGTGACTAATAACAGGTTGCCTGGCTGTACAATGGATTTCCTGTGCTGCCACATTCTGGAGGAGGCAGAGTTGCTTAGCTTGAATATGGTTTTCCCCATTCCAGTGTTCAGAGCAAAGCTTTTTTGCCTGCTGTAACCTCATTTTCACGCTAGCTACATGATCTCCTCTGTGCCATATGACTAAGCAATCAGAACTACAGAAGCAGCAAGGATTTACATTCTAGTGATCAATTCTCCTCCTGTGTAGCTGAGGGAAATAAAATGTTTTTACAATCAGACGTCCGCCACTACCTAAAGAAACACTACTTCTAGATATGGGATCAATCTCTCACTTATTTCTGACCTCTGCGACCATGAACATACTGATGATCTGTCTAATTTGGAGATGCTTAGGAGAGATGGAAAGAAGATGGTCAAGAGTTACATTTCAAAGCATAGGCTTCCCACTGTCCTCACAACTCCTTTCCTTGTGCAACTGCAGTAGACATTGTCGGTGGGTATTTGTTTATGTAATCCTGAAGCAGAATACCTGCAAGGAATCTGATGGTTTATCAGTCTACTTTTCTCCTTGTTAATGCTGACTGGCTGTTATTTGTGGACAGTCTCTCCCTTTATTCCAGATTGTATTTTCTCCAGGTAAGTGTAGAATGGGAAACAAGCCACCCCACTTTGGTTTAGACTCTAATTTTTTCCAATATTCCATCATCAATAATACATGCCTCTATTGATTCACTATACAACCGTAAGCTGCTACTTCTGTCAGCAAATGATCATAACTATAGCCATACCATTTGCGATTTTTAGACAATGAATCTCATATGTCTACCCGGGCTACAAAGCCTTCAGGCTTAGGCATTTCTCCCAGTGAGCCATATTTAGTTTCCTGTAGATGTCTGTCCATCAGATAGAACTCCCAAATGGAGAATGATGGGATTCATAGTCCAAAAATTCCAAATGGCACATCCCTATTTGTAGCCCTGCCCAGTAGGTGCAACATAAGGGCAGGATAGAGTCACACTCCATTCCTATCAAATTCCATGCATTCGATGATAGAATCAGTACTTGTATACAGATTTTGTCTGAATTTTTTCAGGACTAAATTTTTCAGGACAGCTATTTACACACAGGGTTTGTTTGTTTCTCATTTTAACCAGATGAGGACATAAGCAAAGTTCTCAGAAACCAGGAAAACGGGTTGGTGAAGAAAGTGCAGCATGAACAATTAATTCTCAGAAGAGAGTATTTACTACAGAATGATATGTGTTCATTCATCAACTTGACTGTTGTGTTTTCAATTCAGAGTGGGCCACTCCTGGAGTCAAGCTGCGCAGCAAAGAGATACACGGTTGGTCACTGGTCTTTATCAAGACCAGGTGTTTTTTTCATCGGGAGAGAAGATGGAAATATTGACATTTGGGACCTCTTGGAGAAGACTCATGAAGCATCTCAGACTCAAAATGTCTGTATTTCACTGATTACTTGCATCAAGCCCTGGATTTACTCTTGTATGTCAGGTTACTCCATTTCATTTCTCTGCTTTAGTTTAACCTTTTTAACAGTTTAACCTTATCTGCACTTAGCTGCCTGACTTTAACAGCTAATAGGGAGTATGAACATTGGAAAATAGATTTAAAGATTTGTTAAAACACCTGTGAGCACAACAGGGTCCTGACAACTTTTAAAATTAAACTACAGTCACTCTTTTGTTAGCCAATTCAGTAAGAATTTGAAGATTTAAGACCCAACTAAAAACATGGTTATTCATTCAGGCCTTCCCTCCTGTCAATATCTAATTCTTTTTTTTTCTTTCCTTCATTCAATATTCGTTTTATTATTGTATGTGTTTGGTTGTATGTTTTATTGTATGTACCTTTTTGGAAGCCGTCCAGAGTGGTCAACCAGACCAGATGGGCGGAATATCAATCAATCAATCAATCAATCAATCAATCAATCAATCAATCAATCAATCAATCTAAATAAATAAATAAATAAATAAATAAATAAATAAATAAATAAATAGTAAATACTCTCTTCAGAGTATTCTATGAAAGGAAGGGGGAAGGTATTTCAGAGAGGAATTAGCAGCACAGAAGCAACAGAGATAAGGTTAAGCATCCAATTCCTCTCCACAAATCCAAATCGTGTTGTGCAACCTTAAGCCCTATAAGACTGATTATGTTCTGAGTCTTATATGGCAAAAGGATCTGCACCAGGATTTCAGCCACCTCTTTGCTTCCTGAGTGTGATTTTTGTTTTATTCTGTGTTTTCATTTAAAAAAAAAAGCTCTGGGTCTCAGTTCCAGAGTAGTTTGCTCCATAGTCACAGAGTGACATGCAGTTCCAGAGTAGTTTGCTCCATAGTCACTTTTGTTAAGAGTCGACCCTACTGGCATCTTCATATGCTGACAATGTATGGTCCTGGCATAAAATTTTATTGAGGCATTCACATACAGTGTGCATGCATAACGGAAAATTTGAAAAGAGCTAATCAAAATTCTGTGGCAACATAGAGGCTATTAGCAATAAGTTTTCACAGTCCTATTGTAAGCCGCCCAGAGTAGACATGGTCTAAATGGCTGGGATATAAATCAATCAATAAATCAACTTTATCTGATTAGATGTTAATTTTTACGGATGTCTGGGACTTCAGGTATACAGTATGCACAGTGGTGTTAGGAGATTATGTACCTAGTTTAAAGGAAAATAAAAGCTGAGAAGTAATATTGGCTAGAACCCTATTGTCAATTTAAGCTTGTGTAAGGGAAAGGGTCACGAAGAGTTGGACACGACTAAATGACTAAACGGGAAAGGGACGTGGTGGCGCTGCGGGTTAAACCACAGAAGCCTCTGTACTGTAAGGTCAGAAGACCAGCAGTCATAAGATCAAATCCACGCAACGGAGTGAGCTCCTGTCACTTTCCTGCTCCTGCCAACCTAGCAGTTCGAAAGCATGCAAATGCGAGTAGATAAATAGATAACATCACGGTGGGAGGGTAACGGTGTTCCATGTCTAGTTGCACTGGCCACGTGACTACAGAAACTGTCTATGAACAAATGCTGGCACTATGGCTTGGAAACAGGGATGAGCACTGAACCCTAGAGTTGGACACGACTGGACAAATTGTCAAGGGGGACCTTTACCTAAGGGAAATGTTACAAATCTTGCTGGCAAATTGCACTTTATTAACAAGGTGCCTATTGCATTCCTGGGCACATATTCAGGAATGTAATCTCATTAATTAATTTGTCAGCAGTTTTCTCCCAAGACAGATGCAATTTCCTTTGCACACTTGTAGGTCCAGAATAAGATTCTGACTAGTGACAATTATGAACTGCAACCATTCACAAACCAGTTACTGATAATTTAGCACACATAATCCTGGCACTAGCTAAGCATGTCATGGGATGGCAAACTTTCCTCCTGACACAAACCTCTGTTGGTAGACTAGAATACCCTGAGGAACTGTAATATTCCTCAAATGTTTTCTTGCCCAAAATGGTTTATTTACAGCCTATGACAGCATGATTTTGGAACCTGAAGAGATTCCTCTTTGGTTTTTGAGGGTTTGAATAGGGCCATTTATGCCCATTTTCTATTTTCTGTAAAAACTGAGCTGTTTGCCTCTTGTACAATGCAGAAGGGGCATTACTTCCAGGTGGGCAATACTTGAGACATTTGCGGAACAAGGGTATGGTCCATGAAATATTGTGCCATAATAACTTAATTCATTCTTAAGATAACCCAGGACTCTTTGTTGCTTTTGCTGCAACAGGCTAAAATAGCCCTTCTTTTGGAAATCATAATTAACTACTATTGGGTTTGCTCTTTAGTAGGCTCTAGTTATGAGCAATGCCATGGTGATGAGTAGGAAAGCAGCAGCTGAGATAGTACAATTCCTTGTTAGTCCATAGGCCCACGTGATTTCTGAATCTGGCAGGATTGAGGACCACAAGGTTAGGAAGAAGGTGTAAATATTGAGTCCCAGTGTGAAGACTTGTGGGCCATCTGCTACCTGCTGAGCACAGCCCCGTTGTTGTTATATGTCCCCTTACATTAGGTCTCCTTTCTTTTCTTACAGCAAAGCAACACTTCTTAGCCATATCAGATGACTTTGGCACTCTGCATATTTTAGAAATTTCATGGACTTTAAGCCACCCTTCCAGCAATGAGGTTTGTAACCCTTCTTACTTTATTTGCGGGACCAGGGCAGAGTGGGGAGATGTGAAAGGTTTTGCATGACTCCTCTGGTGAATTGCAGATTGTAGCTGGGTTGCTTGTCTTGTGGGACCCTGATGACTGGTGGTGGATAAGATGGGATGCTGTGTTGGAAATTCCTGGAAACTCTATTAAAACCTCCAGGATAGGTTTTAGTGGTTTCCTTTATTGATTTTTATTCCTCTAGAAAGGCAAATCTAACCTTTACCTCTCTGCCTGAAAGTACAAACTTTCAGACGTGAAAGGTGTCAATGAATAAAGGATTATTGAAGGGGAAGCCAATTTGAACCCAGGAGATCATGAAAAATTCATGAGAAAAATAAATGCTTAGATTAAAGAGGAGTGCATTTTGTGGTGTTGAGGGGAGAATTCCCATGTTTATGTTGAATCTTTCTGAGCAGAGATTTAAATAAAGTTGATTTTAGTCCAATCTACCTAACTAAAGACACACTGGGAACATCAGCATTCCAGTGTTCTCCATTACTTTGAGCGAGAAGTCAGACATCTGGAGTACGTTGAGCAGCGTCGAGAATTCAGAGATCAAGAGAGAGCAGAGCTGGAGAAGGAAAATCTGATTAAGAAAACGGTAAGATCATCTTGAGAGAAATGAAAAGTAGAACTCTTAGGATATTGAACATGTGGCCACTGGTCAACTAGTTCTTTAACTCTCTAGTCTTTGAAGTTTACAGATAGTGCCATCCTTTAAGTTCACTTCATGGCACATCTGATTAAACTCAATGGGACTGTTTACAGATAGTGCCATCCTTTAAGTTCATGGCACATCTGATTAAACTCTATGGGACATACTCCCAAGTACTTGTGTGTAGGATTGTGGCCACAGTGAACTAATTGTATATTTTCTCAACACACCTATTGTGCTGCAATAAAGAATATTTTCATGGAACCTAATATATTATGCTTCTGCTACTGTTATTGTCTTATTGCCATTTACAACATGAAATGTCTTCCTTTTTCTTACTGGTGACATTCTGGAAAGTTTCCAGATTTGTTTGCCATTCTGATTTGTGCTGAAGAAAATAGTCAAGGAAATACATGTAGCTGGTTCATTTGGCCCAAAAGGAAAACACAACAAAGGATCTAAATGCATCTACCAAAAGCAGATACATCATGGCATATGTTTTCATGGACTAGAACTCACTTCTTCAGATGCACAAAATATTTCCTGCATGTTCCATGGGGTCACAAAGAGTAGGACACGACTAAACAAAACAAAACTCTCGGCTTGGATTTTTTTAAAAATCTAACTTTTAAAATACTAAAATATGAGGTGCAGATAGACTAGTGGTCCCGAAGAGAAGTCTGTCAGGCACATGGATGCCCATGGTTTTCATACTGGGGACCCCAGCCTCAGTATGAGCAGGGTATTAAGCGTAGCATGTAGACTGGGATTAGAGCTGGGATATGTTGAGGTGGAAAACTTAATAAAAAGGGTTAACAGTAACTATTCACGAGATATTTACTAAGAGAGACATTGGCCTCATTAGTTGAATCATGATGACAAGTTTTGTGCCACTTTCAAGATGTGGAGCTTGTATTTGGCATCAGCTTTTGTGCTGAAGAAGAATGTCAAGAATTAGGCTGCAGTCCTCGGACGTTTATGCCAGATAAAATAAAAATTCCTAGTCCTGATACAGCAGGCTAAAACAAGCTACTTCCTGGAAGTTCATTAAACTTCTAACTCTTTTCTAGTAACTCTCCAGTTTCTACATCTGAAGAAGCCAGATTTATCCATGTCTGTAGTTTAAGGAAGAGCAGGTTTCCCCCATTTTAACCCCTGAACCTACTGCTAGCCATTTCACATTCTGAAATTTATAGCAGTCGGTTCAGAGGGGGAAACGGAGATAACCAAGGTTTGTTCTAACCACTGTTAAAAAGCCATAACATGGTTTGAGCTTCTAGACTTACAACATATAAGGCAGTTTTTGCCAGCATTTGATTGGCATCTGTTCAGGAGTCCTCTTCATGAATTCTTCCGTGTCTCCAGTGTGCAGCAGCCTTATAAGTCAGAACAGTGGTTTATCAATGACCTATACAGCCAGAGATAACTGCAAGCTATAGTTAGCAGAATCAGTGTTTTGCAAACCAATTTCATAGAGTATCTTCAAGTCTTGATTTGTGGTCCCTGCATTGTGTCAGGAGAGGCTTGGATTCATCTAAAAACTGTGAATGGAAAGTGCGAGAAATACGAAAACCTCAGAAAAGTATTTGTGTTCGTGCCTTTCTTATTAAACAATTAAAAATAGTAGCGGTCTAGAGCTCTTGGCAGCCATTTAGGGTGTTGCCTCATATCTGATGTAGTTACAGTACTCTCAGAACTTGGAGAAACTCTTCTCCAAAGTTATGTCATTTGCATAGCTACACAAGAAGATCTGAGCCATTGTCCTCCAAGACTTTGAGAATCAGCTTTTTTTCTGTGACTCAGGAGAGTATTTTTGATTATTTTCACCCTTCCTTGCAGAAAGTAGTTGGCGGTCAGCGATCAAGAGAATTAATGGAAGAAAAGACCAATCAGGATTATGTGGAATATTTGGACCTAGAGAAGGCTGTTCTAGTTCGACTTGGAGTACTGAAGGGAGGAGATAAAGGTAGTCCCTCAAGAACTGCCTAGCTTTGTGAGCACCCATCGTTCAACTGTTCGGTGCAGACTAAATTGCTATGAGAAATGTAGGATGGTCTTGATCCAAAGGCTTATGAGTTGAAACTGTTTTTGAAAGTCACAATGCAGCAGCCCCCACTGCCAAAAAGACATACAGCTGTTCAGTTTTATTATCTGATTCTCTCTTTGGAATTAGGAAGTTCCAAAAAATATTAAAGAAAAAACAAGGCTGTTTTGTATTGTTCTTTTTTTGTCCCTGCAGTATGTGTAATAACTATACAGTGAAGCAACATTTGCACATCCTGTTCAGTTACATATTCACAGTGAAGGCAATTGATGGTGATAATTTGTATTTCAGGGGCTTATCCCACAGATACTTAAATTATCTATTTATTTGTTGATAATTTGAAGATTGAGTACTATTGCATGCCCTATAAAACAAATAAACCTACATCTCTCTCTCTCTCTCATCATTAAAGCCATCTGGAACTTAACGTGGGCATTAGCTTTCATCCAGATGTGCACCTCAGGCTTTGTCATGGCCTGGATGCTGAGCTAGCCTTCCTGGTATTTTTTGAATGCAGTCTCTGCAATGAACTAGAACTTAAAAACCCACCGAGCACAAACCAAATCACACAACCTGCTTAACTACTTCTGCTAGAATTGTATTGACCACCCAGAGGTGCTGTCATTAACAGTCCTTCTCAGCTCTGTTCACATCTTGCAAAGTAAAGGTCATGCTTCCTTTATGGAATCAATCCATCTCATATTTTGCCCTCCTCTTTTCTTGCTGCTTTCCATATTTCATATTATTATTGTTTTTTCTAATACTGTAAGTATTCTTTTTCATGGTACAGTATGTCCAAAGTACTGTAGCCTCAGTTTAGCCATTTTAGCTTCTAATGTGAGTTATGCCTGTTCCTTTTCTGAATCCTACATGAACATTTGTCATTCGTCACTCCATACATGGTAACATTCTTCGTTGTAGAATCTGGAGAGTCATTTTGCTTGTGTGGGAGATTATGTAATGATTCTGTAGTGGCTGCACTCTTTAGCATCTCTTTCTTCAGGACTGGCATGTATATTGAACATGTCCAGTCTGTGGGCTGTTCTTTGGTTTTCCATATTTATTGACATATTCATTTTAGGATTTTGATAGATTTGGTTTCAGTAGTCTGAAATGAATCTATCCCATCTATTCCTGGTGATTTACTTCATCCAAATGCTTTGAAAGCAGCTTTTAAAGAACTTTCTAAAATTGTTGCTTCTTAATTACAGTATTCTTTTTTCAAGGAATGTGTTACTTTTGCATGTCTTATGTACAGGTCTTTCATACATTGTTTTCATTATTTATTACACTTTTATTCTGATGAGATGCCTATTGATCTTTAAGATTTTCTAAGCTAGGTTTAAATTTCCCTTTGATGTCTCTGATCTTATGGAAGAACTCTTCTGTTTTTCCTTTTTAATTGTTCTACTTACTTTATCTGCAATGATTATTATAACAATTGTCTTTGTCCCTGTGTATCAGTCATTGAACAGATGCATTTGATCCTGTTACTACAACCTTTCATTTTTGCTTCTCATCTGTTATTAATATTTATAAGCATAAGCATTTCATCAATTTCATCAAGTAAAGCTGTTCTTTTAACTGTGATGATTCTCTGCTAATATATTTGGCTTCAGTTCTTCAGGAGTATTTAAATTATATTTTGGTAGTATTGGAAGAGGCACTTGAGATCATATTGCAAATATCCTCTGGCTACTGTAGCACACCACAGAATTTCAGAAAAAGATCAGTCAAGATTTTATAGATGACTGCAAAGCCTTTATCTGTGTGAATAATGAAAAGCTATGATTGTTCTGAAGGAAATAGATGCACTTCACCACTTGATTGTCCTGATGTGCAACTTATATTTTGGACAAGGAGCTACTGTTAGGACAGAATATGGAGAGACAGAATGGTTACCTATAGGCAAAGGTGCCTGAATCAGTCATAATTTTGCTTCTGTCTCTCCCACCTCTTAGGCCACAAAGTATAGAAGTGTGGAAAACCTGAGAGCACAGCAAACATTTTAAATACTGTAAGCAAACAAAAAACAAAGGTGGAAAGCTGATGAAAGTAGCTGCTGTTTTTCTTGGGGTCAGGCAACAAGACCCAACAATTCTGTCCTGCTTGGATTAAAGAAAACAATTATTTGTAGTTTTGTTTTCTACAGTCATCGTAGAAAACCAATAAACTTGGGATAGGATTGTAGCACAGGAATGACAGAAAATGAGCTGGAAGGTTTTAAAGATCACTGCAAGGACTGAAAAAGACACACACTGACAAAGGCTATGGATGGAGCCCTAACTTTCTCCTCCTCTCCTGAGTGCCAAAAAAAGACCCTGAGCTTTTGCACATGCATGTCAACACACTTGGTCCAGAGTACAGACAAAAGATGACACACGATACATCCAATATTTAATGCACGATTCTGGAAAACACATTAGGGTGACCAGAATGATTTTAAAAGATGGAGATACAGCGCTAAACAGCAGTGTTTACCACTCTCCTATATTCACTATGAAGGAGACAAAAATGCAGAAAAATGTGGGCCTCCTCCCTTTCTATACACACTTCAAAGTATCTTATAGTGAACTTGATGTATTAAGCCACAGTCCAGATTGCTTTTTTTAAAAAACTGCCTTTGGAAAGAACAATGTTCTTTAACTATTGTCCTTGTGCCTGTGTACTAGGCTGATCCCTCTAATGCTGGAGGTTTGTGCCTGGCAATTGAACTACCAGATGTGTCCCAAGATTATCAGATTAGAGATTTATGCTGTAAAAATCCAAAGCCTCTGGTTTGGGAAGTTTCCAGCTATTTTTAGATACCATTTTTTTCTGCTTCTAAAAGAAAAAAAGCTAGCTCATAAAACACTGGATTTCTTATGGATATGTATAAAAATGAATTGGCAATGAATGTGCTCAAACATTCAGCCCAGCTTAGCAAACAGAGACCTTCTGGCAGAATATAAAGTGATGGGAGAAGGAGGTGAGATCAATAAATGCGTATGATGTTCCATTTACCCTCTACGAGATGTTAAGCATCATCTTGGCTAGTCTAATTTTGGCAATGGCAGCCCTAAACAATGATGTTGTGTAGGATCCAAACCAGTATTCCAGGTTCTTCAGCCAATAAACTTTCTTCTTCTTTCACGTTGTTAATCATTAATTCATTCATTCAATCAATCATTTATTTAAGGCACAGTACAATAAATAAATAATAAAGCAATTCAATACCCTAAAAGCATTTCAAACATTAAAACCACATCTGTGAAAACCAACCACAGTAAAAACAGCCTCCATGGCCTATTAAAGCCATGATCCTTAAGCCCCAAAGGCCTTGGTAAGTAACTCTATTTTAATTTAGAGCAAAAACAAAGTTAGAGTTGATGCTAGTCGAGCCTCTAAGGGGAGAGCATTCCCTAAACTTCAGTAATGAGCTCAGTACAAGAAACACCTCTGGAGCTTTGTGCTGTTTGTCTCTTGTCCCTTTCTGGGTCCCCCCTGGTTTGTGAGAGTGCACCTCCTTTCTTTGATGGTGACGGAGCTGAGCTTGGAATGTTTTTAGTGGTAGCTGCCTCTGATACTGGAGATCCTGGTACCAAGGATGGTGAAGTCTGAGTAGTTGGTACAACTTTTTTTAAAACATTTTATTATTTTTTATAACATACATACCTACAAAGACAAAAACAAACAAAAAACAAAAAAAGACAGAAATACCTACAAAATAACATATAAAACTAACAAAACATATAAGACTAACAGAACATACAGCAGGGAGGTATTTCCCATACGAGCTTATCTATTATATAACTTCTGACTACAGGAATAATATATCCATGTGCATCTGCACATGCTATATTCCACATCCCTATTTTGTGTATCTAATTAGGTATCTAAACATCCTAAATTTATAAAAAAGATATTGTAAATTCCCTCATCTGCATTTCCATCCATCTCACTCTCATCATATACATTTCTCAATTCCTCTTAAAAAGTACTTATCTACCATAATATCCACACAGGCCTATTCATTCCTCGATGATCTCCATTCTTATATACAGAAGACTGTGTATTTAATCTTGTGAGCATAAACACTCTTATAGTTCACACATATTTAATATTTCCATTTATGTGCCTTGGAACAAAACATCCAATATTATTATTCATCATCATCTAGCCTTAAATTGCATGTCTGGCCGAATTTGCTTATATATCTTAAATCAATTGATTTCTATTATTTGTTCAGCAAGTAACTTCCTCCTTTCTAATTTTTATTTATCAACTCCAATGTCATCAAACCGGGATTGGCCTCTCTAATCTTGTCAACATTGTCACTGCTATAATCACACATATTTAATGTCTCAACATTATGTGTCTCACAGAGTGTTTTCCAGTTTTGAAATGCCATCTATAATATTTCTTTAAAACATTTTCAACACAGTTGACTAATTTTACCCCAATATAATCAGTGGTTTGGTTTTGGAGCAACATAGTGTATGATCCCTGGTCGTGAATTTCTGCCCTAAGCTTTGCCCATTCCCCCCCCCTTTATATTCTTTCCTTTCGGAACAGTCTTGATATACATTCTCCCTTCCCCGCCCCCCCTTTCGTCTTTTTTAGCCATCTTTTGAAAAAAAAGGAATGTTTTTCTTCTCTCTCTTTGACTCTGGTTTCTCTGACGGCAGCTGTTCCATGATGGTTCTGTCCTGCTGTAAGGTGATTTCTCTCTCCGACATTAAAGGCTGTTCATTAAGGATCTGGATTAGTTGTTTATCCTTGCTGTCGATCTTTTCTTGCAGAGCAGAAAAAGTCATTTCCAAGTCCATTCTGATCTCGTCAATTTGCATCTTAAAATGATTAATTATGTTAAGTTGACATTCTTGAAGGAGTCCCTTAAAATAATCCATCGTGAGTTCCGATGATGATTCTCCCCCTCCTTCCATGGCCGTAGCAGTCAGTAGGTTAATTACTCAGATTCCCCAGATAATTTATTAGCTAGTCCACACTTAAAGTCTTCTGAGGGGGTGATAACCGCCTTGTAGCCAGATACAGAGTCACTTAGGTTAAATTATGTAGAGTTATTTAGAGTTCTTAAGTCTTGACTTTATAAATTTATGAGAAGCCAGTTTCTCTGGGAGGAAGGGTTAAGAAAGAAAAAGAGCAAGTTGGTTTCGTTTCCGAGCTGTGGCGTAGTAAAGAAAACTCCAATATTACAGGCCTCCACAAAGTTATGCCGCTTGAGATCTCCTTCTCATCAGGTTACCAAATAGCAGATTTGATCTTTTACTTGCTGTAGCTTAGCAGCAGATCGTTAATCTCTGTTCTGCAGTCAGATAATAAATCTCGATATCTCCCCCTCCATCATGGTGACTTCACGAGACAGAGATTGCATGTACGAAAGGAACTCTTCTAAAAAACAGACTGCCATCTGCGATTCGGTGGTTCCAAAGCCCCCACTTGCAAACAAGCCCCACTCTCCTGTGGGAACTTGCCCCCCTCTTCTCTGGGGGGGGTCCTCTGATTCGGAGTAAACCCGGGGGAATCCAGAGCTCTGGAATTCCCCTGTTTTCGCTGCTCATGGCTCCTCCCTTCCCCAGTAGTTGGTACCAACATTGATGGTACTACAGGAGAGAGTTTGACAGTGCAGACCATGGTGGGAAACAGCTGAGAATATTTTAAAATGGGGACAGATTGGAACGGATGCTGTTCCTGGGTGGATGAGAAGACTGCTCTTTCCCACAAGATGAAGAGTCTTGCCTCTCAATTTTTTCTGCTCTGAGCAGCAAAGTTCTGGCAGTGCCTGCACGTCTGGGGGTTATGTTGCTTCCTTAAGCAAAGCAGGCGTTTAAGAGTGGCCATCTTTTGGGAGATATTCTAGAGCTTCAAATAGAGCACTTTTTGAGCAATGATATGGTTGTAATTAAATGGAAGTTAAATGAAGAAGAGAACTATACGAAGAGTCTAAGGGCTCATCTACACTGGCTCTTTTGGAGTGGGCTGGTTGAAACTAAATAGCATTGCTTGGGATGTGCCATTTGATGCAATCCACATCCAAATGGCATATCAGAGCTCAAGCAAACCTACTTGGTCTAGCTGCTTCCCATATCATAAAGTGGCTTAATAAGCAAGTATCAGTAAATTGACCGCTTCCTCTATCTCTTGGAAGATTTTAAAAGAACTCTTTAAAATAGTGAGGCAGCATATAGGAAATCTGAAACAAATTCACAAAATTAGATTTGCAACTGTTTTTGCAATGGCTACTGTCAACAAAATAATCGTGGCTGTTTGAACTTTCTGTAGCATATTTCTGTCATCTCACTGCTTACATGTCCTGTTGTAAGCCTGTGCATACTCAGCACAACACTTTTGTACACTTCACCAGCTGCGTGCAGTCCCAAAAAGCTTATGTTGTAAGAGATTTGTCAGCTTTTAGGTGCCACAACACACACTCTTTGTTACATATTTGGGAAGACCTTCCAAAATATTGCAGGAACAACAAAGAAAAGCTCTTCTTCTTGTGGAGACCAACACAGTACTCCAAGCAAGGCCTCTTCAATGGATCTTAGGGGGGTTAGTCCACTTCAGTCCAAACACAATGGGCTCACTTGAGTTTCCTGATTTGGGAGGGGGTGTAACATAGCTGCTGGAAGTTCTTTCCCCATCATCTTCCCTTTTAGGGAAGCCTACCCAATTGAACAATGTACCCCAACTCTCTGTGTTGCATTGTTTAAAGAGACAAGTTTTTTTGTCTGATCTGGTACATCTTTTATTCTTTTCTTTTATAGGCATCCCTGTCTTGATAAAGACTGGGACCACTGCCCTTTGCTACTCCCACTGCCTAACTAAATGGCAAGTCTGGGTTAAAAGCAGCAGCACTGAGTCACTACCCAAACTCATGCACAGGATTAGGCCCATATTTTTCTCCCTGTTTCACACTGCATTACTGAATTAATAGTCCTGATATGATGAACCATTCTTTTTATAGCCCTTATCATTTTCTTCAGTATTATCTTTGAAACCATAAACGTGTAAGTCATATGCATTTCTTAAAAAAAACTACAACATTTTACAAAACAATCCATTTTTATTATTTCAGGTTTTATTCGGAATTAACATTTATAGTTCAAAAATAATCCACTTCCTGTACATGTACTTAAAAAAATACATCAGCATATCAATAAATGCTTCAGGTTAAAATTTATGTTGTTGAACAGTACCCTTGCTATTGTATTGCCATTATTGTGTTTGGGTATTGCCACACTATAATAAATTAATGAAGTGAGACTGAATAAAAAGCTAAAATATTTCACTGGGGCAATGTGGCAAAAATAATACACCAGTTTCATTCATCCTATTGTAAATAAATAACTAATATATCAATAATCATACAATATATAGGAACAACTTAAATAGCACTTACATCAGTTTCAGAGAAAAAGAAAAGATAAAAGTAGTTTAATAAGAAAATTTCAGTCCTACTGTACAGGCAGTCGGTGAAATTCAAAATGCATGTTTAAAATGACTACCACCTTTTTGTTTTTAGGATCGCTGTTTTAAAAAGCCTATTCAACCTATATCACTGTTTTAGTCTTCATTTTTTTATGAGGCAACTGGTTGTATAATTTTTATTGCTTGGGTCTTATTGCTAAGCAAAGGATAGGAGTTCAGTTTTCATTTAGGCTTGCATAAAACTGCTTTGGTTAACTATGAAGGATTTCAGAACAAATTTAGTAAGCATTTATCACATTCACCCTTTCAAGGGCAGGGCTGAAGAGCTGCCAATATCCGTTTAAGACAACTGGCAAGATAAACAGTAAATTGATAGTTCTTATTTTTTTAATCTAATACTTCTAATCTTAAAAACAACAACAATCCACACCATTTGAGCCAAGAACTTCGAAATATTTCCAGACCTTTAGGCTATATTATTTTAAAAGTCACTCTCTCCATTTTCATGTCAACCTTTGAAAGATGGGGAAACCCTGCAACTGTGGGGCAACTATTGACCATGCATTAGGAACATGAGAAAAATCCTATAAAAGAATACAACACCCCCTTTCCCCCAAGGACTCTCTCCACTCTCATGTCTCTTGTGTTATTAGTACAATTCAGGTTGCATTACTGGGCACTACAAGGCCTTGGTCCAACCACTGTTGTGCAAATGAAAAGCCAAATACTCCAAGATTGTCACACAAAATTTACTTGCAGCACTGCACTGAAATTTGAAGCAGAAACCAACTTTACAAATGGACCATCATTAGAAGAAGGAATCCCTTCATTGCTGAAAATATCCAAGTGCACAGCAAGATCTGTTCTCACTTCTTAGATGTAACAGAAACAGAAACAGATTTATTTCAAAGTGGGGTTTCATGGATCACAACCCATTTCCTTCGATACTTAGAGCTGTCATGAGTTTTGATGTGACAAAAGGTCACACTAAAATTGCAATGTTAGTCTAAAAATGCAAATAATAATTATGCAGTCAAGTTGATTTTAATTTATGTCTATCGTTCGCTGGGTTTTGTGGATATAGAGTACTCAGAAATCCTTCTAGGGGCACTGTGCATCATGCCTGAGACGTATGTACCATGAAATCTTTCATTTTTTGTAACACATCCTGAAACAAAGCTGCCTCTTGGAAAAATCACTTCACACAAGTTGCAAATCAGCTTACATTGATTTGTACCAGTCTTCAGGAGTTAAGAACAGGATTCCTACACACCTGATTTTTCAGACATAAAAGCAACCATCTCTTCAACCTGAATGTGCTTTTAGCAATCATCCCTGGCTATCTATAATGCCTGTTTCAGCCCATGGCTTATGTTCATACCCACCTAGAATGTGCATTACAGTTGTATATGTACATGCACATACACACCTTACTGAGGATCAGCACACATGTGGTTGAGCTGTGCAGACTGCTTGCATGAGCTTGACTCTTAAGTTCCTTCCTACGTACAAGAGCAGGAATGCACTGTCACTTCAGAGCTTGCTCCTATAACTCCCCTCTTTGGACTATCTATGTATCAAGTCAGTTTGTGAACTAGCTGTAGGACTGTAGAGAATCTCAGTTTTGCCCTTACTAGTAACAAGTCTAGACATCTGGAGAATATAACATTAAGATTGCCATTAAAAATCTTAATGTTACAATCATTAAGGCTGTGACATTAAGACTGCCAGCCTACATACATTTTTTAACCAAGAAGACTTGACATCTGACTGAACATACTTGGGATCATGCTGCAAAAAAGTTAAGAAATAGAAGCACAGAGCAGTGCGGCTTTCCTATGTTTCTATAACTATCTAGTTTTTCTTCTCTGAATCGCGGACATTTTGTCTCTCCTTTAAAATTGTCTGACGCTCTGTCCATAGTGGCTGGTTCTCTATTGCAAGCAAAAGGAAGAATGAAGGACAACAGATTCACCTGAGATAAACACTCTGAAATTTGAGGGGGCAAGATTTAGCAAGGTCACAAATAAGACATAGAATTTATTTGCAACCTAATAGGACTGACATGTCCTCCCAGACATGGGTCAGCATATGGATCTATACCTAACTCCAAACAAAAAGCAATTGCAAATCTGGTTTGCTTTAAAAGTACATCGACATGTTTTCATATTTGGCAGGAACAAAGTCAGGGCCAACAGTGATGTAAAGAATAAATGTCTACACTGCTACTGACTGCTCTTTGGAGAGGTACCTTTGAGAGCAATATGTATTCAAAAACAGAACAGCCATAGTGCAATGGTGTGTTTCTCCCAGATCCTGCGCCATCTGCCAGAACTAGTGATGGTCCCTTCTCCTGCAGTGCTTACTCCACCATGAACTCTAAATCCCTTTTCCAAAGGGCCGGCATACTTTCTAGGTTTTTGGAGAAGTGAGGGGAATGGCAGCCTTCCTAATTCTACTGGCATCAGAAGATGAGGCAGATTGTTGGATTTCAGCCAATGTGCACATTTATGAACAACTGGAATGTGGAATTGTGGATTATGGGAGTGATTGTCAGGTGTTCCATCTCTGTAGCATCTTTAGGAACTCCTGTCAGGGGTTCCTCAGAAGGAAGGGAGATTTCACAAATGGCGTATCACACTCTCTATACAATCTATTTCAAAGGTATTGATCCATATGATGATCCACGTTTGGGAGTTTAACACTTAAAAGAAAAATCTAAGCTAACTGTGGCCATCCAACTCCTGAAAGATGTCCAGCAACATCTGGCTGGCCCAACACATCCCATCCTTGCTTACACCATGCAGAGAGACCAATAAGCAGCCTTCTGTTCCTTTAGGAGTCGTGTTCTTATTCAAATCTAATATGCACCTTTCCCAAGTAACTACATACAAAGGGCATGATCCAGACAGAAGCAGAACTCCTGTACAGAGAGTTCTCATTAGGGCATAACAGCACCTTCCACTGTCCTTCAAAAGTTCTAGATCTTGGGCTAAGTGAGATGGAAGAAGCTGGATGGCACACAGGAGTGGCACAAAGTCCTCCTATTATCCCCCACTGGCCTGACCTGGTCCTTGCACACGCACTCCTGCTTTGCAGGGTAAGTTAAATCTCTTGTGTTTTGCTATGGCCTATGGTTATCCCTCCAATGCAGAGGCACAATACTCAAAGTAGCTGGGACAAAGCCCAATGTTTTTAATATATAAATATGTACAAAACAAAAGTTAGAAAAATATTTAATTTGTTCAGTTTTAAATAATTGCTAGGAAGTGTTAATACAGGAATACATTAATGTTTGTACAATTAAACTTTTTCATATATATATATAAGGAATATAATTATTCCTTTTATATATATTCCTATATATAGGAATATAATTATAAAAAGCATTTTTATAGCAGCCTTTGCATTGCAAGTGAAAAAGGTGTCAAAATATGGTAGAATATGATCTACCTACATGTTGTGCTGCATATTATCCAATAAGCAGCAATATTAATCCCCTCGTCTGGGAGAACATCCGTACCAAGACCAAAAATTTCAGGAACACGGAGTGCCATTCCTGTGGAGCATACACAGAGGTGAGGCATTGTATGTTTTGCATAAACTCTCCAAATTTCGTTAAGTGCATAGTACATTGAAGGGGAGAGGGAAATTCTCGAATCTTTTCACACGTAATAACCATTTTAAACCCAGAGGGTCAAAACTGATGCCTTCTACAAAAGAGAAGGGAAGGGGGAGAACGACGTAACAACAGACGGAAACATGACTCTAACCTTATTAGGGATCAAAACCATCATACAATGGAATTGCTATACCAGCAACCCACCAAGGTTGCCTGTTTAGCCTGCTCTCTCTTGAGAGGGGCAGGGAAAGAAGGCATATCGAAAGGGAAATGTAGCAGAGGATAATTATTAGTAACGGATATTCAGCTTGTTTTTATTCAGTTCCCGTTCCAGGTTTCCTAGCAGAACATCAATGCTTTCCTGCAAGTCTTTGAGGTTTCCTCTGTGGTTCACTGCAGAATCCATTGTTTGCACTGTCAAATAGGCCTGAAAGGTATGTTCTGTATGAACACAATTGGGTTGTTCCATTAGCTTCTCTGAACCATCCATTTTGTTACCTTCATCTCCACTTTCTGCATCTTCTGAAGGAACATCATCATAGTCAGCTTCACTCAGAGCCTCCTTGGGGCTGATGAAGTAGCTCTCTCCACAACCACTCCAGTCTCCAGCATAGCGGTTACTTGAAGGGCTGTCCAGTCTGGCTGGCCTAGAGCGCAGGATTCCTGTCATCTCATGGCCACTTAAATTCAACATTTGAGGCGGCTGCTTTTTCGGCCTCAAATAATTCACGGAGGACTGTTGTTCAACGGATGCAGATTCTTTGGCAGCTGTGTGTTGTACTGCAACAAAGCACAGTTTTAATACGTTAGCTGCAAGAAATCAGCAGAGTAACGTTTCCCACAACCCCGCCCCCTCCACTTGCAACATGCGCTGATCCATGCATACTTAACAGCCAATCCATTCTACTGTTTTGATTTTGCAGCTAGCTAAAAACTTGTTATTAAGAGGGCAAAGCTTAATAGCAGAAGTTCTATTTCATAACTACCATGCCTTAGTCCATCCACAACTGCAAAAGCCCATTAAATTTTTAAGTCTTCTGATTAACTTTGCAAAATGTTAATTACAATCCATAATTACAATATTGTTCAAATGACAATCCAAGAGCTTCCATCTGCTACACACATTCAGCTGAATAACAGAAAGCAGAAACAGCATTACATCGTTGTTAAATATAGCTACCCCTCTAAGAAAGCTGTCCTTTCTGGATCCAGATGTGTGCAAAGCCAGCTGAAGCTTTTCTAGATTTCTTCCTATGCAGCCATTAACTCAAGCTCAGAGGGAGGGAAAATACACTCAACACACATTGGGAGCTTTTATTACCTGAACTCATGGATTTACAGCTCAAGAAACTAAGTCCCCTCTCATTATCGGTTTCCTATGGTAAACAGTACAGATGTTTTACTGATCAAGGCTTATTGTATTTTGTAACTGTACAATGTTTCTCTTCCACATGCATTCCTAATGTCATGTCTTTTTAAATTGGTTTCAACAATGGCCAACTGCTATACAAAACACGAAAGGGGGCATAATTATTGCCAAAAAGGTTTAAATCTATCAATAGGATTTTTTAAAAAAATCTAATTTGTAACTCACCTCGAAGAAGCTTCATATTGAAAGGTGATATAAAAATAAATATAAAGCTGTTGATACTACCGCACCCATCCTTAATCTATCTTCCCTACTTCTGGAAGCCAGGCAGAGCCAGACCTGGTTAGTCCTTGGGTGGGCTAGGAGATAATCCTGCTTGAAACCCTGGACAGCTGCTGCAGTCACAGCTGAGACAACTGGACCTGTCAATATAATGACCTAACTTACCCTTCACAATAAGGAAGCCACTTGCCCCCAGAGTACCCACTTCATTTGCCAGCAGCAATGCCCTGCCCTGGGCTGAGTCTCCGGGTGACTAAGCATGCAATGTTTGGAGAGATGGCCCAAATCCTGTCCATGCTTAAGCACCTTCTTGCAGTGCTTACACTCAGCCATGTGAGCACCTGCTGCACACTGTTGACTTCTCAGGAGCTTCAGTTTTTGACTGCATGTTCCTAACCGGGACAGCAGACTTGTCATCATGACTAGTTCCAGCAACGAGTGAAGCAAGTGTGGCTGGAGGGGCAGGGGTGGTTTCAGTGTCATGTGCTTCTGAAACAGTGCCCATCTGCGACCCCTCAGTCTCCTTCGAGTGTTTTTGCCTTTGGTACAATTTGTGCTCTTTTAGTTCCTAAAAGTAACTTTCCTCTAAAAAAACCCACAAAAACCTCTAGTTATATATATTTTTTAATCTCTTAAGTTTCTGTGAGAGTTCAAAAAGATCTGCAATGAAAGGCATGGTTTCAGATTTTAAAGAAATGAAGTAAAATATTACAGATCCCGGGAAAGCAACATTTATGGCCGTATGCCAAGAAGCCAAGATCCTGCACACAACAAGCATGCTGCAAAGCTCAAAGAGGACATGCACGTGTTCACGCGGCTGCCGCTTTGCAAGCTGATCATGTGAATAAGCTCCCCCTGGAGCCCCAAATGCCTCCCTGCAGAACTGAAGTCTAACTAGAGGGGCTACACCTCTTACTGGTCATGAGCAGCTTTGCATTTTTAAAAATGAAAACAGGAGAGGGTGGAGGCTGCCCTTCTACAAAAGCTCTTCTGTTTAGGCTTTGCCCTCTTAAGGCAAAGGGATCATGTGTTAAACTTTAAGTGCTAGCTTTGTTACCATTTCTGAATGAACAAGGGCCATGTGTTTTCCATTTTTAAAATAAATAAATAAAAACGAGGAGCTGAACTGGAGCACAAGCATCGTTATCAACTTTTCCAAATCCATGGGAGGATTAAATGGCTGAGAGCCCAAGCATTAGCCCTCTCCACAGTGTTTAATTAAATTTAATTAAATGTAATGTAATTAAAATGTTTAATCTTTAATGAAAGGACACTGCATGGTACTATGCACTTACAGAAGGTGTTGATGGTTTCTCATTTGTGCTACAGCCTGCTTTCTGTCTACATTAACAATGAAACAAAGGTGTAGGGGAAGTAGCACAGAACTTTCCACCCTCTTGTGGAGGGTTCGGATGACCCCTTTGCTCTGCCAAGTGATGCAGCAAACTAATCATGGAATGGGTTTGTTTGACAACATTTGACACACCACAGCTATACTGACAAGATTGGGACTTATCAGTAAAATTGCCCATATCCCACCCAGAATGTCAAATTACTCTCCCAAATTAACTGTCCTGATTGAACCGCACTTTTGTAGAGCACTAGCTGGATAGCTCAGGGAGTTGAATACCTGAGCCAGAGGTTGGGAGTTGAATTTCCCTCTGGGCTTCCTGGGAGTTTCTTGGGAGAAACTACAGCCTGCATAGCCATGGACAAGCTGTGCAATCTATGAGCAGCCCCAAAAGAAAGGAATGGAGAACTCTGTACCTAGAAACCCTTGGCAAGGGTTACTACAAGTCAGAAGCACCTTGACAGAACATGATTATTACATGTTTGTACTGCACTAACTCAGATTTTTATTTTCACTTACAGTTTAATAGAGAGAGAAAGCAGCTCATTACCTTGGGGGGGAATGGGGGGAAGTGCCCATTCTGAAATTTTGAGATAAGGCATACCGCTACCCCAGTCCATGAGCCACTATTAGACAACAAAACTGTAAATCTAAAGCTCCTAAAGAGCCAAGATTGGGTAAAGAAGTCTGGTACAGATGCAAAAGAGAAAGGATACGACCCTAAATGAAAGTAAAAAACAAGATGGGCAAAACAACCACCAGCCCAAACTATATTCATCTACTTTCTTCTTCATGTGTTTGAAATACATTTCAACATATTGGTCTCCTTTAAAAGGTTTTAAAGTACTGGACATATTGTTTCCAGTGTTGTGTAGTGAATCCTATCCTATGACTAGAACTAGTTCTTTGATGGCGGCAGACTCTTACAGGAACTGAGGAGACTTCTGGCGGGCAGAGCATGCGCTCCACGGGGGAATGTCCTACTAATCACATGTCTTTAAGCTCTAGAAACTTCCGAGAGGTCATGCGCAGGTGCAGAACAACTCAATTGTGTGCATTCACAGAGGCCACGAAGAAGAACATCATTTTGGCTCAAATACAAGGAAGACGCTGGTGAGGTAAAAGTTGTCTTTTGGGGAAATGGTTCTTCTTCACTGGAGGTGTTCTAAGCAAAATATGGATGGCAACTAGCCAGGGATGCATCAGCAGTGGATTTCCAGTTGTGAAATAACAAAGGAGACTGACTAAATGACTCCTGAGATCCCTTCCAATTTTATAAATCAATGTTTTTTCATGTTAATGATCTTCTACATGAATGCTTGCGTTGATAAACCAGCTTCAGACTTAGTTGGAAGATATTTAAGGAAAATATTACTGGTACTGGAATATGCTATACCATAATGTTTCAACTGAGTGTTAAGACTTGATCACAGTTATTTTAGAAGTTTAACATAGAATTAGGCAATCCTAAAACAGGATGCCTTCTGCATTTCCTCCTCAGAACTGTTATTCTTCTATATAAAAGTCAAACAAACAAAAACACTGAAGTAAAGATGAGACAATGCTCCTGTACACAACTCTGATTACACAGCCTGAGACAGCCACTTCCACTACTGCATGAACAGAAACAACATGCATGAGCCTTATATTCAATTAAAACCACTCCATTTTTATAAATCTACTTTCCAGTTCTACAGTCTTTGTCTCCTATTTATTCACCTCATCTATTGCAGCTTACACACAACAACATTTTAAAAAATTGCCACTCTCAGCACTTTTAATTTGGAATATTTCTTAAAGTGACTAAACATATTAGTCTCCTTTAAAATGTATTGCAAATACATGAAGAAGAAAACTGATGAATATAGTTTGGGTCTGTGGTTGTTTCACCCATCTTGGTTTTTTTTTGTTTTGTTTTTTTACTTTTGTTTGAAACAGGGTGCTAGAGGAGAGCTTTGCAGATACCCGGGACCGGCAAAATGACAAACAAATCAAGCCTGAAGGATCTTTGAAGGAAAAAAAAATGAAACTTGATGTTCTCCTACTTTTGGCAAATCATGAGAAGGCAAGATTCTCTGGAAAAGACAATAATGCTGGGAAAGGTTGAAGGCACCAGGAAAAGAAGACCAAATTTGAGATGGATTCACTCCCACAGTATTGATTTTACAAAGGCTGAGCAGGGCTGTTGAGGACAGAACATTTTGAAGATCGTTCAATCATAGGGTCATCATAAGTTGGCGGCAACTTGACAGCACATACCAACAACAATACTTTCTCAAAGAATGTAAAGCCGTTCTCAATAAAGAATTCAAATAAACATTCAAACATTTCAACTTTCTAGGACAGTTACTGGCCTTTAAATGGTTGGAAAAAGCCATTCTTGAGGAAAAAGACTTCAAATGGGGAAACGAATTACAGAAGTTCAATACTGTATGTCCCTTCTAAAGATTATGGCACAATAAATGTGTTGGTCTGTAAAGTATCTCAAAACTCTCATTTTTTTCCCACAACACACTAGTATAGCTAACTCTCCTGGAAATAACTCTCTCCACGCATAATCCTTCACGATCCTTTTACCTGGCCACAACTGGAGTAAGTAATGCAGAACTTCTATATGTTTTTTGAAGTCCAAGGCACTGGCAAGTTCTTCTGAATCAGTGAAAACTCTGTTGTTGTGATTAGTGGTTTCCTGCCTTTGGCTCAGTAATACTGGCCCAAAACACACAGCTAAATTCTGGCATGTCATTCTGTTCACTTCGTTGTATGAAGCTACCAATTTCAGATGATCCAACAGCATTGTTAAAGTTGCCTGAAATAAATACAAAAGAACAGTTCTTGTTACATTACCTGTGGGAGAAAAAGCAGACATGGATTTTATCTTTTGCAAGGCCTTGTCCTTTCCCTGGTAGCCACAATAATGTCATTTTTGCATAATGTCAGTCAACATGAGATAACTTTCAGATGCACCTTTTTGTCTGTTCAGTAGAAGTGCACGGAGGACCTGGTGCTTTTGCTCACAATTCTGTACTTCCTCTCCCAGGAATGTTCTGCAGGTGGCATTAAACTGTACTTAGCTGGAAGTAAGCCTTACACTGGACTGAAATGAAGCCCCTTTGAATAGAACTTGCTTTACTTTCAAATAAATACAGTACTCTTATGTTCTGTGACATAGAGGCAGAAATTCAGTAGTAAGTCCCAACTAGAGTATACCCACTGAACTAGCAGAACCTTGGAGAAGGTGACTCACCAAATCCGCACTGATTCATTCCCCTACTCTATTGGGGGGGGGGTCCTACTACTGGATTTCAGTCACTGTGCATGGATTCAGTGGCAAATAGCCACAAGGCCAATAAGGAATTCTGAAAGTTGAACTCCAAAAATGAACTCTTCTCAGTTCCATTACTGGTCCCCAGGTCATCCAAAAGAAGTAACTTTTCCAACATCCGACTGCACCTTTAAGTGGAAACTGCTACAGTTATATCATTATATCATTACAATACATTGATATATAAATATATTGTACGTATTTATTTAATTATAATACACCACTCTTCAGCTGGTAGGGCTCCTGAAGAGTCAACAGGAGCTTTAGAAATGAAGAGTGCCAAATCGTATATTGAGATTTGAAAAGTTACTTTTTAAAGCTAGACATCAACTTTGGAACTCCCTCTCAAATAACATAAGGCTCCACTCATGTTGCATATTTGTGTTTTTGGACAATATTTGACAATAATTCACAGAACTCTCTAGCACAGCCTGGGGAATTCTAGGAATTATAGCCCAAAAGCATAAATACTTATTGTTTCCCTGAAAATAAGACCTAACCTGAAAACAAGTCATATGATTTTTCAGGATGCTCATAATATTTGAATAAATATAGGTTGTTGTACGTGAAAAAATAAAACATCCCATGGAAATATGCACTAATGCCCTTTTTTGAACAAAAAATTAATATAAGACCCTGTCTTATTTTTGGAGAAATATGGTTTATACTTCTTTATTGTTGACCTTCTAGTGGACAGCCAAAGCATATTGTCTGAGATTCTAATGACGTGACTTTACAATGTGCAACCCAGGATGACACCATCAGCCTCTGAATGTGTGTGTGTATAAGCCTTTTAGAGTCAAAAAATCACCATTGAAGGAGTGGTGGTGGTCCAAATCTTACCAGCAGTGCCAACCTTTGGCTATAAAAGGCTCTCCATCTTGCCCTGTCCCTTAAGGCTCTCAAAGCATTCCCCAGATCAAAGAGAGCCCCAGGGAACGTCAGAACCTGATAAGGGGATAGGAAGTTTTCAACCAAATTAAATAAAGCATTACTATTCCAGGCTGATAACATTATCCCAGTTAAGGCAATAGGGTTTCAGCCATTGTTCTGAACAGCTTTGGGACTTTTAAGAATGGTTTTTAAACTGTCTCTTGGAGAATTTTAAAATCTTCTTTTAAAATGTTTTAATCTCTCTTTTAATAATTTTAATTTATCTCTTGGACATTATTTTGGGAGCCCCAGTGGGCAGAAAAGCAATAACCCTATAAACAAACAAACAAAAGCCAAAACAGAGAAAAAAGGAAAGGCAAGATGTTAAACAGAAAACATAAATAGTGCTTTTTATAAGAAGTTGGGGTTAAGTAACTATGCTTAGAAAAAAGTTGCCTCTGTCTAGCTGGTCTACCTATAAAATCAGTGAAAGCTGGTTATTTTCACTAGGCTCCTTCTTGACAGGAGGTTAAAATGCTACTTAGCAATAAAGCATGTACCACCTATATGTAAAACTAATTATGCAGGAGTTTTTAGTTGGAGCTGTCTGAAAATTTAAAGTCACCATATGGTAGCTTATCAAGTCAATAAAATTATTTTTCCCCAAGATATTGAGAACAGCCACATGGTTGTTGACTGATGGTTCAATAACCACTGTGTTCTACTTGCTCAAAATCAATTTGTTTTTCCATCAACAAAGTTGAGTTAAATCCTTTCATTTATTTTTAGTCATTCGCATTTTACAGGCCCTGCAAAATCTCATTCGATTTCAGACACCATATGTAACCTTTGAGCATTCATTGTTTGCTATGCAAAAGTGAGATCACATTGTAACTAGCCAATGCAATCCTGCCTGCAAGGGCTCTAAAAGGGATATAGCTGTCTCAAAAAAAGAACTGGTCAACTCTTGCTGTTCAATTTTTAATGCCAAACAGGCGGGTTACATAGTCCAGTTTTTTTTTTTAATGGCTTTTCCCTTTGACCAAGGGAACCAAGCAGCAAAGCAAATCTGTGTCTGTTATTTGTTACAGATTAATATAAATCTCCTTCACACACTAGCCAAACATACAGATGGCAGATACACTAGTCCACGCATACACCATCCCTCACACATACTCCTCAACACTGGAAGATAATGTAACCTGAATCTTTCTCTTTCCTCATCTCCTTCCAACCATCTTGTCCCCTCTGAGAGCTGCATGCTGCCTACCACAGGCGGCCTCCGAAGGGAGAGTAACAGGACCAAAGCAAGTTCTCACAGTTCCACTTTTGAGAAAAAGACTGAATACAAATTGAAATAACAATTAAGTGATTCCGATGAAATAAACCCATATAAACGTGGACAAAAATATCTGCCAACGTCATCTTCTATTTGGGCCCATGGACTGCATCTTCCTTTATGAGCTGGCTTAGGAGTTAAGATCATCAGGAGAGGGCTTTCTCTTGGTCCCACCACCTTCACAGGTGCGTCTGATGGGGACATGGAAGAGCAGCTTTCTCTGTTCTGCTCCCAGATTTTGGGCTGGCCCCATCTTTGCTGTCCTTCCACTAGCAGGTGAAGGCCTTCCTCTTCAGAGATGCTTTCCCTAGCGATTGGCTGCCTAAGTGGTTTTTTCAAATGAACTGTTATGCCTTACTGCTCTGAATGTGTTTTGGTGTTGCTTATGTTTTTCAGTATAGTATTTGTCTGATCCTTTTTGTTGTTGTTTAGTCGTGTCCGACTCTTCATGACCCCATGGACCAGAGCACGCCAGGCCCTCCCACAGTTGGGTCAAATTCATGTTGGTTGCTTCGATGACACTGTCCAACCATCTCGTCCTCTTTCGTCCCCTTCTCCTCCTGCCTTCACACTTTCCTAACATCAGTGTCTTTTCCAGGGAGTCTTCTCTTCTCATGAGATGGCCAAAGTATTGGAGCCTCAGCTTCAGGATCTGTCCTTCCAGTGAGCACTCAGGGTTGATTTCCTTTAGAATGGATAGGTTTGTTCTCCTTGCAGTCCAGAGGACTCTCAAGAGCCTCCTCCAGCACCACAATTCAAAAGCATCAATTCTTCAGCGGTCAGTTTTCTTTATGGTCCAGCTCTCACGTCCGTACATCACTACAGGAAAAACCATCGCTTTGACTATTTGAACTTTTGTTGGCAAGGTGATGTCTCTGCTTTTTAAGATGCTGTCGAGGTTTGTCATCACTTTCCTCCCAAGAAGCAGGCGTCTTTTAATTTCAGGCCTGCTATCACCATCTGTAGTGATCATGGAAACCAAGAAAGTAAAATCTGTCACTGCCTCCATCTCTTCCCCTTCTATTTCGCAGGAGGTAATGGGATCTAAGTTTTTTTGATGTTGAGCTTCAGATCGTTTTCTTGCACTCTCCTCTTTCACCCTCATTAAGAGGTTCTTTAATTCCTCCTCTCTTTCTGCCATCAGAGTGGTACCATCTGCATATCGGAGGTTGTTATTTCTTCCAGCAATCTTAATTCTGGCTTGGGATTCCTCCTGTCCAGCCTTTCGCATGATGTATTCTGCACATAAATTAGATAATCCAGTGGACAATGTACAGCCTTGTACTCTTTTCCCAATTTTGAACCAATCAGTTGTTCCATATCCAGTTCTAACTGTTGCTTCCTGTCTCACGTATAGATTTCTCAGGAGATAGATAAGGTGGTCAGGCACTCCCATTTCTTTAAGGACTTGCCATAGTTTGCTGTGGTCCACACAGTCAAAGGCTTTTGCATAGTCAATGAAGCAGAAGTAGATATTTTTCTGGAACTCTCTGGTTTTCGCCATAATCCAGTGCATGTTAGCAATTTGGTCTCTAGTTCCTCTGCCCCTTCAAAATCCAGCTTGTACTTCTGAGAGTTCTCGGTCCACATATGGCTGAAGCCTACCTTGTAGGATTTTAAGCATATCCTTGCTAGTGTGTGAAATGAGTGCAATTGTACAGTAGCTGGAGCATTCTTTGGCACTGCCCTTCTTTGGGATAGGGATGTAGACTGATCTTTTCCAGTCCTCTGGCCACTGTTGAGTTTTCCAAAGTTGCTGGCATATTGAGTGTAGCACCTTAACAGCGTCATCTTTTAAGATTTTAAATAGATCCTGTTTAGTATTTGTATATTCACTATTGTTAGCTTTCATATTGTCTTTTAATTATATAACCACTTTAGGTCCTTTTAAAGGAGAAACAGGGTTTTCTAAGGTATAAAACACTCAGAAGTCATTTACTCTTCCTTTCTTCTGGGAGAGTCCTGAGATTATACAACTTATTCAAGGTCACACAGGGAAGCACATGGGGGCTCGAACTTCTGACCTCTGACTCTGCAGCCAGGTACACAGCTCACTGAACTCTCAAGCCAGTTTAGCCGCAGGGAAACTCATAAGACAGACTGATTGGCTGAATGGACCTCTACCTGCTTTTCTCGTAATACTTGCATTCAAGGTATCTCACAACAAGAATAGAACAAGCACAGGTAAAAACAGATTAAAACAGGTACAGAAAAAAGAAACAAAAGTTATTGCACTAAAATATGATTGAATCATTAAGCATGCTGTCACATTTAAATAACACTTTTTAAAAAGGTACAGAACCTATTCCTTCCTCAATAGCCAGTCAGTCATCCAAATAAAGAGGTTTGCCTGCTGATGAAAAGGATGATAGGAAAGGGTGCCAGCTTAATTTCCCTTGACAGGAGGCTCCACAGCCTGGTAGCAGCCACCAAAAAAGGCCTTCTCTCCCATTCTCACCAAATGTACCTGTGAGGTGCAGGGATTGAAACCAGGAACTTTCCCACTGGTGTAAAAGCCCAGTTCAGCTGGTATGGGAAAAGGCAGTTCTGTACAGACATGAAAAAGCAAACCCTGGATGGTTCCATGACTATAGATGAGTACCCTAGACTGACCTAGGTAGGGGTCTTGCAAGGATGGCTACAGTCATGCCATTCCATGACTATAGATGAGTACCCTAGACTGACTTAGGTAGGGGTCCAGTCATGCCATTGTAACATTCACAAAGACCAAGATCTCATGAATTGGGCTCACTTGACTCGGGTCAGGGCACAATCATATGCCATTTTTTCACCTGTGAAGGCCAAAGGAGGAACTCTAGGAAACCGAGTTGACAATTTATAAGCCACCTGCAATAGGCTAATAATACTTACCTTCTCAACTTCTGGCAGGCAGTCCAGGAGAGCTACGGTATGCTCAGAATCACTAGGGTCATTCTCGCATCCATTTGCTGTCATTTTCAAGGGCTTTTTAGCCATGGCATCCAATACAGCTTCATACAGTTGTTTGGTTATTAAGGGAGAAGGCAACTCTCTTAAATAATCCTTGAGGACACCTTCATAGAGATGCAAACAAGGTGCAATGAATTTACCATGAAGTCATATACAAGCAGGCATCTCTGTGTACAGCTGGGAATGTGTGCACAAGGCATATGGGTTAGCAGCTTGTTTGCTCTCATGAACACCATCAGATTTCAAATAGAATGCATGAGCAAACATATACGACAGATGAATCCTTATCACATGTTTGTTGTACAGGGTCCCAGATGAGACAGAAATAAATTAAATGAATAATGAAATGAAATACATGATAGTCAGTCATCTCTGGAAAAAAATTCCTTATTCTCAAATCAGATAGCACTCCTAAATTCTGATTTCACTCTTTTCTCCTTAAACTTTATATTCATTGTGTGCTTACTGACAGACAGCCAACATGAAAACAGTATCTCACAGTTAATTAATGGAAGGCAGACATCCCAGCACAAGGGCATTTTCCATCTTAAGCTGTTAAATTTATCAATCAGGACATTTAAGCAACAGCCCACTGTACTAGTTATAACCATGGATAAACACTGCAGTGTTGTTGTTTTCAATGACTCAAATTATTCTGTCACATATATTCTACTGAATCTTATAAAGGTAAAGGTAAAGGTTCCCCTTGACAATTTTTGTCCAGTCGTGTTCGACTCTAGGGAGCGGTGCTCATCCCCGTTTCCAAGCCATAGAGCCAGCGTTTTGTCCAAAGACAATCTTCCGTGGTCACATGGCCAGTGCGACTTAGACACGGAACGCTGTTACCTTCCCACCAAGGTGGTCCCTATTTATCTACTGGCATTTGCATCCTTTCGAACCGCTAGGTTGGTGGGAGCTGGGACAAGCGGTGGGCGCTCACTCCGTCGCGTGGATTCGATCTTACGACTGCTTGGTCCTCCGACTCTGCAGCACAGGCTTCTGCGGTTTAGCACGTCCCTCTATTGAATCTTATAAAGTATATTAATTCCATTCAGTTTGCTACATTGAAGCATTCTAGAATCTGGACATGTAGGGTGGAAGTGCCATACTCTCTTCTTTTATATAGATTCCTTTCCCTTACCGTAATCTAGCCTTCTCTAGCCTTGGATTCCCAGATGTGTGTACAACAACTCATATCATTCAAGCGGACTGGGGATAATGGGGGAGCAGTACAAGAACATCTGTGAAACTAAGGCTGGGAATGGCTGATCAATGCTTTTGAAGAATACAACTTTCTTGTGTCAAGAATGCCATTTATCATACAATTAAACAGCTCTTGAAAACTATCATATATCTTTGGCATGTTGACATTATGCAATGCCATGGAACTGCCAAACCCAAAAAAATCATCTACTCATATGAAATATTATTTTCTTTAAAAATAAATAACGACTGGAAGTAACTGGTGTTCCTTATTGTCCTCAAACTGAACATTAGAGCCACTTCAGCTAAAGTAAAATGATGGTATGTAAGTTAAATAAGCATACATTGTGACTGATCTGTATCGGCAAGTAGAATGAGGTAGTAGGGAAAGACAACACCCTTTTTGACTGACCTACTGAAAAAGAAAAATCTGCCTATATTAGTAAGTAAGTAAGTAAGTAAGTAAGTAAGTAAGTAAGTAAGTAAG